TAAGAAAACGCCCACGAATGCTTCCTTAGCCGATGCATGCGGGCGCTGGAAACTCGCAGTTTGTCGCCAGAGCGAGCGGGAGGCTATCGCGGAGTCAGCGACTAGTAGGCAGAAGGGCCACGGGCACGAGGGCGACGACAAGCTGATTTTTCGAGGCGCCAGGCTCATGAAGGACGCGTTGCTCGATACAGTCGCCCCAGGGATTTCGTGAGGCTCACCAGAGCGACGATTTGTGCACGCTACAGACTCAGAAAGCTTAGCGCAGATGGTAGGCGGTCGCGCGCGACCTTGCGACCCGAATCACGACGCACGTTGCATTCGAAGTGTTGGTCGAATCTTGGGCCACGGTTGAGTCCCCCCCGCAAATTTACGTAGATCCATTCAGTGGGGGTGGCGTTGTCACAACAAAGTTGCAGGCAGACTCGCGGACCACATGATGGATTTCTGGAATTTTTGGTCCGAGGTTTTTAAGGGCCAAACAGGCGCTCGAACACGCAAATCTTATTGTATAGACAGGCGGAGGCGTCCTGGAGGGTGATTGCGTAGCAGTTGCATTTGTCATCGGCTTCTGGGCTGAGACGCTGGACGGATGCACATACGAGCCCCTCATGGTCCACGGCACCTCCCTTCATTCGCCACGCAACGCATTCGGAGCGGAAACCTTTGCCCTTGATGAAGCCTCGCGGGTATTGGTCCGCCATAGGCAAGTTGCATCGACTCCGATCAGCTGTAGTCGAGACTGATTGAGCCGCGCGCGCGCCAGGGAAAGAAGAAAAAGGAGTAGGATCACGGACCAAACTGCCAAGTCTGCGAGCGGGGTGCCATTGAGCACTCCCTCGGGTGTGGCACTGTTACGGCTGGGAACTGCCAATGAGGAAAATCCTCTGCCAGGGCCGCACCCTTACTCGCAGCCTGCTAGAGGGGGTTACTAGCAAGGCTCGCCATAGATGATAACCTCTCGGGAACATGTTCAGGAGTGGCGTCCCTGCGCGGGGGAAACGGAGCAGGAGGAGAGGAGCAGAAGGAGGAGGATCTGCTTGGAGGTGACCTTCACCTTCTGCAGGGCGTGCCGCCGCTTCGATTCCAAGTTCAGGAAGCTGGCAGAGGAGTACACCCTCCTTCAAATCCCCCTCCTCCTTCTCCCTCTTCCCTCCTCTCCCTCCTCCTTTCCTCCTCCCTCTTCCCTCCCCTCCTTCCTCCTTTTCGGTCTCCTCCTCCCCCATTCTCCATAATCTGCTCACCCCTCCCTTTTCCCTCACCCCTCCTCGTCCTATCTCCTCGATTAGTGCGCAATCTGAGCACCACTCTCCTCTACCCCCCCGACAAAGTGCCAGTGTGCGTCCGCGTCTCAGGCGTACTGCTTTCACGCACGCGCACGCACACACCACCTCGCCACCCCTACATACACGCACACACACAAACACAGGCACACACACATAGACACACACACAGACGCACACGCACACACGCACACACACGCACATACGCACACACGCACACGCACACGCACACGCACACGCACACGCACACGCACACGCACAAACACATACACATACACACACAAACGTGACCATTGTTGCTCAAGCTTGCCTCCTTGGGCGCCAGGGCGGGAGAGGAGCGCGGCTTGCGTCTCCCTTCGTAGGAGAGAGCGGCTCTCTCTCTCTCTCTCTCTTTCCCCCTTGGTGCGGCCCCCGCGATGGCGGCGGGCGTCGAGGCGATGGACTTACGGTCGAAAGGGAGCGCGGGACTGGTCATGGCGATGGCCGTCCAGGGCGCTGCTCAGGGTGCTGCGGCGGGCGGCGCGTCGCGGCAGGCGGTCGCGGCCGCCGTGGCTGCGGCGCTGCGCACGGCGTGGGCGCTGCTGGCAGGCGTCGACTCCGAGGAGGACGCCGAGCTTGCGATGCGCTGGCAGGCCATGCAGCCCGCCATGCGCCAACAGGTGCGCGCGGCGGTACCCTTCCACCTCTTCGTTGCCGAGTTTCTCAACAGCCATGTCCCAGATAATTTCGCTGATGTTCTGGATTGGGTCTGTGCTTCGTTTACTCTTCATGTTTTGTCACTGCTCCCCTAGTAGATGCTGGAGATGTGTTTCCGTGCGCTCCCTCTGCAAGTCATGGTTCTTGAGCCAAGGACTGGATCCGACTGTAGATCCAGTCGTGGACGGCCCTCTCAAGCTCAGCAGGAGGTCCTCGAATCTCAGCCGGAGGTCCTCGTAGTTCTGCCTTGCAGCCCAGCTTGGAGTCCTCATTGTTCATCTGGTTTTCCTAGTAGCTCTGCTGGAGGCTCTCGTAGGTCAGTTTGTGGCACCAGTAGCTCCGTTGGTTGCTCTCGCAGCTCAGGAGGTGGCCCTGGTAGCACCCCTGGCGAATCTCGTGGCTCAGCATGTGGCCTTCGTGGCACGCCTAGCGCAGCTGGTGGCTCTCGGCGCTCTGCTTGCGGCCCTCGTAGCTCAGTTTGCTGCCCTCGAGGCTCAGCAGTTGGCCCTGGTAGCTGTGCGGGAAGTTCTTGAGGCTCTGCTCGGGGCTCTTGTAGTCCAGCTGGTGGCTCTCGTAGTTTTGCTCGAGGCTCTCGCTGCTCAGCCTGTGGCCCTTGCAGCTCAGCTGGTGGTCCTCGTAGCCCTGCGCGTGGCTCTTGCAGTCCAGCCTGTGACCATCGTTGCTCCGTAGGTGGTCGTTGCAGCTCTCGTAGCTGTGCCCGTGGTCCTCGTAGCTGAGCTGGCAGTCCTTATGGCTGTGCCGGTGGATCTCTTAGCTGTGCCTCTGGGCCTCGTAGCTCAGCTTGTGGCCCTCGAAGGTCTGCTGGGGGCCCTGGTAGCTCTTCTGGTGGCTGTAATAGCTGCTGTCCCTGTGGTCTTCGTAGATCTGTTTGTTGTCCTCGTAGTCCAGCTGGTGCCTCCGGTAGCTCAGCTGGTGGTTCTCATAGTTCAGCTGGTGGCACTCGTAGCGCAGCAGATGGCCCTCGTGGTTCAGCTGGTGGCCCCCGTAGTTCAACTTGTGTCCTTCGTAGCTCAGCTTGCGGACCGCGTGGCTCAGCTGGTGGCTCCCGGTGGCTCTCATAGCTCGACAGGTGGGTCTTGAGGCTCTTCTGGTGGCTCTCGTAGCTGTGCCTGTGGCCCTCGTAGATCAGCTTGTGGTCCTCGAAGGGCCGCTGGTGGCCCTGCTATCTCTGCTGGTAGCTGTAGTAGCTCTGATTGTTGTTGCACCCGCAGCTCAGGTTGTGACCCTCGTAGCTTTCCAGGTTGACCCCGTGGCTCGGCCGATGGCTCTCGAAGCTCTGCTCGTGAATCTCGTAGCTGAGCTAGTGGCTCCTGTACCTCTCCTGGTCGTCCACGTAGCTCTGCTGGTGGCTCAGCTGGTGATCCTCGTAGCCCTGCTTATGGTTCACGTAGGCCAGCTCGCGGTCCCCGTAGTTCAGCTTGTGGAACTCGTGGCTCTGTTGCTGACTCTCGTAGCTCGGCAGGTGGGCCTTGAAGCACTTGTGGTGGCACCCGTTGTTGTGCGTGTAGTCCTCGAAGTTCAGCTTGTGGTACCCGAAAGTCGACTGGTGGCAATGGTAGCTCTGCTGGTGGCCGTGGTAGCTCCGAGGTGAACACGCTCTCTTCGTAGTCCCCGAGGTCCGAATCGAAATCGTCGGCTGCCAAGGCATAGTGCTCCACGTTCTGAAAGCCGAGGTAGTCCTGGGGGTCGCAGGAGTACAGGTCGCCATCTTAGAAATTGCCATAGTCTTATACTCGCAGTAGGCGGCGCGGCCGTAGTCGTACTCGTCGTCGGCGGCGCGGCCGTCGTCCACGACGATGTACTCAGTTACCCTTTCGGGCTGCACGGTCGTGTCGTTCCTGGTGTCGGTCTTGGTGGCGTACTTGGCGTCGTAACGGTGGTGGTCGTCCTTAGGCTGCCTGTTTCGCAGCTCGTTCTGGTATTTGGGCTGCCTTTCACGCAGCTCGTTCTCGCACCGGGGCTGCCTATTACGCAGCTCGTGCTTCGACGCTCTCGCGAGGGCGGTCGTAGCAATGATAACGAGGTCGTCGGGCCGAGGCTGTATCCCATGCCAGACGTTGTGCCCCACTCGTTTGTTGGGCCGCGTCTTCGCGCCCATGGTCTCAGCATCCCTGCCGGTTCGCCGCCACAAACAGTGGGAACGCCTCGCAACCTGGTAGTTCAACAATTTGGTGGTTGATGTTGCAGTCGTCATTGCAGCGCCCCCTGACCACGGCCGCGGTTGAGGGGCTGAGGCCAGCCCCCCGTGCGCGCGGCGCGCGCGGGCGAGTGCGGGGGATGGTTCCCACATGTGGCCCTGGGGTGCCAGGCTGCTTGTCCACCCCACTGCCGCTGTCGTCGGCGGGTCCGGGTGCCGTGGCGGCCTGCGGTCCGCCAGTGGCGCCCTCGGCGCGCGGGCTGCCGGGGTCGCTCACAGCCTCGGTGCCGGGGCCAGCGCCGTGGGAGCGCCGTGCCTGGTCCAGGCGGCCCTCGGGGCCCGCGCCCGTTCTGGCGGGGTCCTCCGGCCCTGTGGGCACAGCCATGGGCTCGCCGCTGCCGCCACGGAGCGCTGCCGAGCCGGTCGCGACCCTGGCGGGCTGGGCGTTTGCCGCAGGGCCTCCCTGCAGGCCGCCCGCGGCTCACCGTCCCCCGGCTCTTGCGAGCGAGCAGTCGCTGGGGGCACGCAGGAGGCCACGGCCCTTCGTCCTCGGCCGTCTTGGGCCCTCCTCGTCGCGGCGCCAACCGCACTCCTGCCCGCCCCCCTTCTGCCATGACGTAACTATCCCACGTGAGCACTGCGCTCGAGGCTCGCCGCGGCCAGGACAGCCCCTTCGCCTCTTGCCGAGCGTTCCTCCTGGCAGTGCCATGACAGACCCAGACATGCGACGGCCTGATTTTTTCAGGACGGCGTCCCTGGAAGTCCAGACCCTTTCCCAGAGGCCGGTTTTTCATCCTGAGTCGGTTTTTCACGCTCCCGGGGACCGGCGAGGGCCCCCAGAGGCCGAAACTAGCCAAAAACTTGCCGTCCTGATTTTTTTATTTACGACGCGATCATGTCTGGGACTGCTGCTCCCCCGCCTTCCCTGCCGCTCTCGGGCGCGGGGGCTGCCCCCGCCATTGGTGCAGCGGCGCTGCCCGCCTCCAGAGAGGGAGGCCGCTTGCCGAGGTCCCGCGCTCCCGCGCGGCAGGAGCCCCCGAGGCCGGGGGGCGGCCGCGGCGCTCGTCGCCGGCCTCTCAGGAGGGGAACCAGCACAGCGACACAACGAATCGTCGGTCTTCCAGAAAATAGAGGAAAATACGGGGAGGCGGGGGGGGAAGACGAAGCCCCAGAAAATATAGGGAAATATTGGACATCCTGGGATTTGTGTGTGTGTGTGTGTCTATGTGTGTGTCCCTGGGCCCCATTCCTCCTCCTTCGTCCTTCAGGGGAACGTGAGACTCGAGTACGCCAGGACTCGGGTTTGCCGGCTTTTTTTTACGAGCGCGTCCTGGATGTAGACGGTCCAGTTTTCGTGGGATGTTTGCAGGGGGGGTTCGCGTGAAATTTCAGATTGGGTCTCGTCATTTCCCCGATGGCCCCATCAGGCCAACTCGAGTCCCCTGTGCCCGAGTCTCACGTCTCCCCGAGTCCTCCCGATGTTCCCCTTCCTTCCCTTGTCGTGTTCTCCTCATGGCCCGCCTCCATCCTGTCGCCACGCAAGGATCAAGTTGTTAAACTCTTCACCCGGATTGGCGAAGTGAGGAGCACATTAAGCACCATGGACCATGGAGAAAGGACGGGAGGGGTGGGATGTCGGATGGGGCGCGAGTGCGCCTAGCTTGCCCTCTCTTCTCATATCCTCCTCTCCTCTGCTTTTGCTTCCTCTCCTCAAATATCCTTCTACCCCCTCTGTTATCCTCTTCTTTTCTCCTCGTGTTCCTCCTCTTCCTCCTCGTCTCTCCTCCTCCTCCTCCCTCGCTCGCTCGCTCTCTCTCTCTCTCTCTCTCTCTCCCTCTCTCTCTCTTTATATTTCCCGCCCTCTGATTTTGTATATATATATATATAAATGAACTCATTGCACACACTGTCGCTACAAATGTTTGTATATATGTAAACATGTAATTTGAGACACGTGAATGCACTTATATAGTCACACACGCGCACACGCGCCCTGCTATATTTGTATGTTCACTTACACACAAATACAGTTACATGTACAGACATATAGATGTACCCGCCTGATGCTGCTGTTCATCCTCCTCATCCTATTGGCTGTAGCTTTCGTATGTGCATCGTTGAGTTGCCGACTGATGGGTCCGGTTTACCCGCAGGCCACACCCGTTTTGTTCGTCCTTCCATGGCTCATGCTCCTCGGAAACCCACCCTTCACATTTAATCGCATAGGAGCGTTGGACGCGTTCCATGACACTTGCTACGACAAAAGAGTGGGTACAGCAGACTGTGCTGCTCGCCTGCACATCGTTTTTGGGCTGGAGCGACATCTCAAACTTTCTACACTTGCCGATGCGTTTCTTAGACAAGACTTATGTTGGTATCCTCTGATTGTCTTCGAGTTTTAGCTTGGTGTCGCACTCCTTGTAGTTTATCGACGGCTTGAGCACTGGTTGCCCTCAGGACTCCGGCAGCTGCACCCCCCCCACCCGTCGGGAGTGTCCCTCCTCCTCGTCCTCCTGATTATGTTATTATTCCTCCTCCTCCTCCTCTTCCTCATTCTCTTCCTCGTCCTCTTTCCTCTCTCTCCTCGCTGTCTTCTCCTCTCAATGCAGCGCCGCGTGTTGTTTTCACACAGAGTTCGTGAGCGCTTTCCCATCGGGATCGGTCCTTCACAGCGGTGCGCCTGCGGCACCGATGGCCACATGTCAGGGTCGGTGTATTGCCTCCGTGGTTTGGAATGGCGCTCGATGTGTCGATTCGTCGTCGTTGTCGCCCTTGCGTGGGCTACGTTTCTGGATTCGTTTCCTCCTTCGTCGTTGCCGTCCCCCTCCCTTTCCCTCCTCTGCCTCCCCGTGCTGTTGCTTCTGCTGTTTCTCCCTCTCCGCGATTGCGCGCGCGCGGCGGGAGGAGTACGAACACATCCGCTTCGTGCAGCTCGTTGGCAACGGGACCATCGGCGCGATGGACCTCTCCACCAAGGAGCTCGGAGTGAAGAAGTCTCCGTCCTTTTTCATTTTCAGGCGCGGGAATCCCGAGCCCCTGGCCTCCTGGACTGGCACGGACGTGAGCGTCTTTCGGGAGAACATCGACAAGCTGTAGGCGGAGGAGCGCGAGTCGGTGGAGCTGCTCTCTGGCTTATTCTGCCTCTGCATGTGAGCCCGCCCCTCCTCAAGCGCCCGCGGGCCGCGAGTGGCGGAGTGCAGGCTCCAGTTGCCTGCTGTGCTTCCCCGAGGCATCGCTCTGGGAGCCTCGGTCATCCCACGAGCACCTGGGCGGTGAGGTGCTCGCGAGGTGGAACCTCTTGTTTTGAGAGTGTCGGCTCGGCGCACATTGCTTCCGAGCCTGGCGTGGAGCGGGGGGATGATGGGGATGAGTGCCCGCAGTGATGAGGGGGCGGGAGCCGGAGCAGGAGGAGGATAGGGGGGAGCCGGAGTCGGAGCTGGAGGATGAGAGGAAGAGAATGAGGAGGACCATAATCAATCAAAGATGTATAAACGATGCTGCATTGTACCCTCCCGTCCCAAGTCCCCTCCTCATTCGCCCCTGCACGTCCTTTTTCATACTACAAGAAGCGACCCCCCTTGAAAGGCCATATCAGCCAGCACAGACTCCAGGTACGTAGCTCAGAAGACTCAGATACATTGGACTGGCGTGGACTGCTGTAGACTGGACAAGTTGCTGCCGGGTGGGCGGATGATTGCGCAAACAGTAGAGGTGGCAGCTCCGAGTTCGGCAAGGTGGATTGCGGCGCAAATATTGCATTGCAGAGATTGCAGCACATAGATTTCTTTCCATAGATGGCACTACACCGGTTCAGCTTTCTAACAAGGAAATTTTATCTCCCACCCCCCTACCCCCTCGCCCCAGTGTATCGGCGCCCCCTGGGATTGTGTAATTTACATGCGTTTCTGCCCCAACGTTCGTTTTCAATATGAAAGCATACCAGCCCAGGGGGTGCCGTTGTCGACCCCCCCTCATCTTGTCACATAATTTTATGCGCGCACGCTCGCTTGTCAAAGACCACCCATTTCAACGAACCCCTTGCAACAACAACGTTGGCGCGCGCGCTACGTCGCGCGCATGCCAGACATTGTCAAAAACCGTTGATTCCGTGCGGATTCCAAGGTCGAGGTCCCCGAATACATATAAGACACCACATGTTTGTGCAAAATGGTTGTTCAAAAAAGCATGCTCGCGCGATTCTGCTAATTCTTGGGGGAACATCGGTTTTCAACATTTGCATCAAAGCCACCGGGTAGGCGTCTTGCGCGCGCAGGTCGAAATCCTTTCAAGAATTTCATCGCCGACGCGTGGACACCATCACCGACATCGGCGGAATCAGCCTCGGCTCCGTCATTTGCCTTGCCGTCGACATCGTCAGCATCGTCACCAGCATCGCTACTATCATCCTCGCGTCTGCCGTTGTCGACGTCGCCGTGCTATCGCGCCCGCCCCGAGTCACCAACTCGCACTGAAGCGCCCGCGCGTGAGCGCGGCCTGCGAGACGCGCTGAGAAGTCCCCAGCGGTCAGCGCCACCGCGGCAGCGTCGGTTGCGCCAGACTAGTGGGCCGCTCTGCGCGCGAGCCTGCGCGCGCCAGCGCGGCCGCGGCGAGGCGCAAGCCAGCGCCGAGCACTCATCGCCATCGCCGCCGCATGGGCTTTGCAAGCCAAGTTGTCGGTGGGTGGGTGGGGCGATTGCGCGAGCAGTGGAGTTGACACCCCGCTGGTGAGCATTGGTGAATTGCACTGCGCAGACTTCGCCGCGCAAAGTGCAGTGCACCAGAGAAAACCCTACTCCGTGGATGGCGCGAGATCGATTGCGAGATCGATAGTGAGATCGATCGTGGATCGATCGCGAGGACGATAGTATGTTCGATCGTGAGACCAGTCGTGAAATCGATTCAGTGAAATCGATTGTGAGGTCGATCGTGAGACCGCTCGTGCGATCTATTGTGAGATCGATTGTGAGATTGCTAGTGGGATCGATCGTGATATCGGAAAGAGCGTGATCTACCGCTGCTGGCGGGAAACCTGGGGGGGTCACTACCGGTTAGAACCCCCCCCCCTTCCAGAAAAGTGGGGGGGGGCCGCTACCGGTTCGAACCCCTCCCCCCCCCAGTCCATCATGAAAAGGAGGGGGAAGGTCACTACCGGTTCGACCCCCCCCCCCCCGGGGTCACTACCGGTTCGACCCCCCCCCTTGAAAACCGGGGGGGGGTGCGGACAGTGGTGGGGACGGTGGTGGTTGGTGGGGACAGTTCTGAGGGGACAGCGGGACAGTGGTGGGAACAGTGGGACTGTGGTGGGGACGGTAGTGGTGGGGACAGTGGTGAAGGCGGTGGTGAGGACAGTTGTGGGACAGTAGCACAGTGGGGAGAGTGGTGGGGACAGTGGGGACAGTGGAACAGTGATGGGGACAGTGGGGACGCTGGGACAGCACAGCGGGACAGCGGCGGGGACAGTGGGACAGTAGTGGGTGCAGTGGGGACAGTGGGACAGTGGTGGGGACCGTGGGGCAAGTGGGCCCGTGGCGGGACAATGGTGGGGAGAGTGGGGACATTGACACACTGGTGGGGGCACTGATGGGGACAGCGGGGACAATGGTGGGAACAGTGGGGACAGTGGGACAGTGGTGGGGACGGTGGTGGTGGAGACAGTGGTGTGGGGACAGTGGGAATGTGGTAGAAACATTGGGACAGTGGTGGGGACGGTGGTGGTGGGGACAGTGGTGAGGGCGGTGGCGAGGACGGCGGTGGGACAATGGGACAGAAGTGCAGTGGGGACAGTGGTGGGGACAGGGGGGACAGTGATGGGGACAGTGGGACAGCCCAGTGGGACAGCGGAGGAGACAGTGGGACAGTGGGGACAGTGGGGACAGTGGGGACCGTCGGGCAGTGGTGGGGGCCGTGGGAAAGTGGGGAGAGTGGAAACAGTGGTGGGGCAGTGGGGACAGTGCGACAGTGGTGGGGGCACTGGTAGGGACAGTAGGGACGGTGTTGGAACCAGTGAGTGGTGGTGAGGACAGTGGCGCTGGGAACAGCAGTGGGGGATGTAGTGCGGACGTTGGTAGGGACCGGGAGTCGTTTACTGGCGCCGTGAGAGGGGGGGGGGCCCTTCCGGAAGGGGTTCGAATCGGTAGTGACCCCCCCCTGTTTTCGAGGGGGAGGGGGTTCGAACCGGTAGTGACCTCCCCGGTTTTCGAGGGGCAGGGGGGGGTCGAACCGGTAGTGACCCCCCCCGGTTTTCCGACGGGGGGGGGGTTCGAACCGGTAGTGACCCCCTCCGGTTTTCGAGGGGGGGGGTTCGAACTGGTAGTGACCCCCCCCAATTTTCTGGAGGGGAGGGGGGGTTCGAACCGGTAGTGACCTTCCTCTGTTTTCTGGGGGGGGAGGGGTTCGAACCGGTAGGAACCCCCTTCCCGGGTTTTCGAAGGGGGGGGGAGGGGTTCGAACCGGTAGTGACCCCCCTCGGTTTTCTGGAGGGGACGGGGAGGAGGGGTAGGGGACGGGGAGGGGTTTTGCCGGGGAAGGGGGGGGGTCCAGCAGGGCGGGGGGGTTTTCGAAGGGGGACGGGGGGGACCCCCGGGTTCCAGAGGAAAGGAGGGGGGGAGGGGGGCATTTTCCACAGTAAAGAGGCGGCGGATCACGCTCTCTCTCTCTCTCTCTCTGAGGAGGAGGAGGAGGAGGAGGAGGAGGAGGAGGAGGAGGAGGAGGAGGAGGAGAGGAGGAGGAGGAGGAGGAGGAGAGGAGGAGAGGAGGAGGGAGGAGGAGGAGGAGGAGGAGGAGGGAGGAGAGGAGGAGGAGGAGAGGAGGTAGGAGGAGGAGGAGGAGGAGGAGGAGGAGGAGGAGGAGGAGGAGCAGGAGGAGGAGGAGGAGGACGACGAGGAAGAGGAGGAGGAGGGGGAGGAGTTGCACCGCGCAGATTTCTTTTTCCCAACCGTCCTGCGTTGGGTTCTCGTTTTGAATAGAGCACTGCTCGCGCGTCTCCTTCCTTACTTACTTCTTCCTTCCCGCCCCCCCCCCGTCCCTCTCTTCCCCCCTGCCTTCGCTCGTCGCTGCGTGCCAGCTGGGGGGCTGCGATCTGTGAAACTGTCGCCACTTTCGAGGCCTGCTGGGGGGCCCAGCGCAGTGGGTACACACCGCGGACTCAAAGGGGACCTCGCCATCCCTGGGGGGCTGCGATTTGTGAAATTGTCGCCACTTTCGAGGCCTGCTGAGGGGGGCCCAGCACAGTGGGTACACACGGCGGACTCAAATGAGACCTCGCCATCCCTGGGGGGCTGCGATCAGCGAAACTGTCGCCACTTTCGAGGCCTGCTGAGGGGGGCCCAGCACAGTGGGTACACACGGCGGGCTCAAATGAGACCTCGCCATCCCTGGAGGGCTGCGATCTGTGAAACTGTCGCAACTTTCGAGGCCTGCTGGGGGGCCCAGCACAGTGGGTACACACGGCGGACTCAAATGGGACCTCGCCATCCCTGGGGGGCTGCGATCTGTGAAACTATCGCCACTTTCGAGGCCTGCTGGGGGGCCCAGCACAGTGGGTACACACGGCGGACTCAAATGGGACCTCGCCATCCCTGGGGGGCTGCGATTTGTGAAACTGTCGCCACTTTCGAGGCCTGCTGGGGGGCCCAGCACAGTGGGCACACACGGCGGATTCAAATGGGACCTCGCCATCCCTGGGGGGCTGCGATCTGTGAAACTGTCGCCACTTTCGAGGCCTGCTGGGGGGCCCAGCACAGTGGGTACCCACGGCGGACTCAAATGGGACCTCGCCATCCCTGGGGGGCTGCGATCTGTGAAACTGTCGCCACTTTCGAGGCCTGCTGGGGGGCCCAGCACAGTGGGTACACACGGCGGATTCAAATTAGACCTCGCCATCCCTGGGGGGCTGCGATCTGTGAAACTGTCGCCACTTTCGAGGCCTGCTGGGGGGCCCAGCACAGTGGGTACACACGGCGGATTCAAATGAGACCTCGCCATCCCTGGGGGGCTGCGATCTGTGAAACTGTCGCCACTTTCGAGGCCTGCTGGGGGGCCCAGCACAGTGGGTACACACGGCGGACTCAAATGTGACCTCGCCATCCCTGGGGGGCTGCGATCTGTGAAACTGTCGCCACTTTCGAGGCCTGCTGGGGGGCCCAGCACAGTGGGTACTCACCGCAGATTCAAATGAGACCTCGCCATCCCTGGAGGTCTGCGATCTGTCAAACTGTCGCCACTTTCGGGGCTTGCTGAGGGGCCCAACACAGTGGGTACCCACCGCAGATTCAAATTACACCTCGCCATCCCTGGGTGGCTGGGATCTGCGAAACCGTCGCCACTTTCGAGGCCTGCTGGGGGGCCCAGCACAGTGGGTACCCACC